TTCCCCTGTGTGTTACCCCCTTTTCTTTTTTTTTTTTTTTTTAAACCCAATTAGCCTTTCGAGCTGAGGAGAGGCAGCCTCCCGCTTTCTTGGGGAAATGACTTCACTCGCTATGTGCTCACATCAAAACCAGTTCTGCTTCAGCTGACCCAGACATACCTTCTGTGATGAGTTTTGTTGAAGGAAGTAAAAGGGTTTTGACAGATGGTTCTGCTTAACAAAGGAATTAAAAACCAGCACCTACACTGAAGCCAGACATGAACTATTCCACTGTTTTATGTTTATTTATATGTGTTCGTTACATCACGTCATCAATTAAATATTCAGAGCCATATCAGTGCCTGAGTTTAAGATGGAAATGGTAGTTATCATAGTTTTTAAGGACAATCTCAAGCACTTTTTATTGTGTTATTGGACTTCTGTGTAATGGTATGAACCCAAAAGATTATCAAAGTGTCACCCAATGTACTGTACATATCATTCACCACCCTTTTTTTTTCCCCACAATGTGCCACTATTTCAACCTCACATTTGTGTTGATACTGCAGTTTAATGTATTTGTTTTGTTGGAAATCGCACAAGTTTTTATTTTGAACTCAACTGCAAGGTTGCCACTAGAGTTGATGCTCTTTAAATACGGGGGAAACATCTGTTGTGGAAAAGTGGGGAAAATGCCAAGAAGTCCAAACAAATAGTTCAGTTTTGTTAATAGATAAACAATGACATGGTCAACTGAAGAGCCCAGGTGTTTATAAATGTGATATTTGCCTTCAGATTCTGGGGAACAGAGAAGTGAGAATTTCTCAGAAGTACTGAAATGTATATCGAGTTAGTATTAATCTGTAAAGAGAAGTTTTTTTTTTTGTTTTTTTTTAAACCAGTTTATGAATGTTAACATCATTATATTGTGTTTTTGTTTGTACTTAAACTTTTACTTATTCCTCTTGTCTTCTGCTCATGAATTTCAGGCAGGTTTGCACTTGTCCTTGTGGACGTTATATTGAAATAAATAAATGTTGGCGTACATTGCAAAATGTAACTAAGAAAAATGTGTTGTTCTTTTTAATCAAACTCTTTGTGTGATTGTCTTTGCAATAGCAATAAAATTTAACATTTTGTGGCATTAATTTATTTTCCAACTTGGCTAATCTCTTTGTAATTTAAACTACAGTGAAAATTTGTCATTCTACATTTAGATTTACATCTTCATAATCCCTGTTGGTAATTTGTCTAGAAGTTACTAGTTTTTAAAAGTAAGGAAGAAAAAAAAAAAAAAAGTGGACCAGACTGAAATATCTAAACAGTTAACTGCATTGCCATGACATTTCACACAGATGTCTAATCTTTCAGAGAATTTCTTTTTAGCCAGAATTTCCCGTTGGGATTTAATAAAGTACTCTATCTAGGAATCCTAATGACTTGGTGACTCTCACTAGCATTGTAAGCTCAGATTTTAATGTGTCTAATATTTTAGGTTACAACAAAATGTCTGCAGATCCACTGACATTCGAGACAGCCTCCTTTGATAAAACACAAATGTGCCAAAGAATGAGTGAGTGTTTACGTGGAAGCTCGGTGTATGAGTTAAATGGTGTTTACCCAAAGAGGGGGGTGTCTGGCAATGCCGTCATAAATATTCAGAGCTGCACAATGAGCAACACTGACCTAACCTACCCTTAAAACAAAGCATCCCAGAGTCCTACACTCACCCAAACAAAGGGCAGATATGTGGCTTCTAATCTAATGACATGACGATAAGTCCAAAATAAGTTCATGTCCAAATAAAAAAATCTAGGAAATATGCAAATGTTAGATAAGAATGTCCTCATGGAGCCAATATCTGAATTTATTTGGTCTGACTTTTTATCTTTGGCCTAGAACAAAGATGTTAGCACAGTATCAGTATCAAACAACAGACCTCTGACAGGTTGTGGTTTTATATATTGCATGTAATTTAATTGTGCTCACTGGCTTTTAAAAACAGTTCTGAGCACTGTTTTGGAATGTGGCTCCCAACTTTTTAGGCTTGTGATCAAAGTGAAGTGATGTACTGCAGCTTCTCCTCGTGATTCCATCTCTCATTCCACGAAGTGTTGGTGATGAGCAGCATTAGCTTTCAGGGTTTGATGGACGCTGGTAGTTCACCTATGTGTGTACTCAGTAAAAGGCAGCTCTCATGCCAACACAGATTACACATAGCTTGGATCGAATTGTTTGTGAAGCATCTGCTTTTTCTCTTAGTATGTCTATTTACAGAAACAGTATCATAAAGAAAATAAAAGTCCTCTCATGAGCCTGTCTTCCATAAATATCAAGCAGACCCTCTGAACAGGAAATGCCAGCACCATGTGAAGAAGAACACAGTCATGTTTTCCACTGGAGTAAAGTTCCTGTCTTTTTCTAAGCCTCTCACACACACAATCTTGTGATTGTTTACTTGTGCCAGGTCAAACAATATCCCTGCCTCCCGATATCCAACATTCTTGTTATAAGGAGCTCTTCCTATTGTGGTCGGCACTGAGCCAGTTCCGCTGCGCTGTGACCAATAGGAGGAATGCAGGGGCTCCCTGCAGGGTGCTGCTCTGGTGGCTCTAGGATGGACTGACTGCTTCACCTACAGAAAATGCCTGCGAATGCCAGAAATGTTCATAATTGGCCTTCTTTTTTTTTCAAACCCCATCCTTTATGACTCTCTTCCCTCCTTTTCCTTTTATAGGATTATGTTTTCTCTTCAGAAAGTGGCATTGTTTCCATACTGCAACACACACATAGGGAAGCAGTTGATTTTGTGGATGTTTCTCAGGATCCGCTCTCAGACTTTGATATTTATTGTAAGGTGACCGTGCGGAGGCAGTTTGCGCTGTCTTCTGACTGGCAAATGCACTGCACAATCACGCTTGGTAGCAAAATAGCACCTGACCCCAGATCTAAATAAATACAAAAAGCAGAGCAAAGCTTTCTGGGGTATCCAGATAACCTTCTCTAAATAATCACTGTGAACTGCAACTAAGGTCTGGCTTAATGGTTTTTAAAAGCTATTATGCAATAAATATTGCTTTTAAATACCTCAGTGAGGGTCATTAAGTTGCAGAATCCATTTGTCTCTCTCGAATTTGTGTAACAACAGTAAGAAATATAACATCAGTACAACAAATATTCATTTTCCTTGCACTATACAAAGCCTGGTCTGTAAGATGTTTTTCTTGTAGGCACTCAGCAGCTGTTTCAGCTCAGGCTAACCAGCTGCACATCCTAAAAAGAAGTATCATTGCCTCCAGCCATTGTACTTTGATCCCTTGAGGTTAGTGAAATTCCAGAACTAGGATTTGAAAATGTAAATCTCTTGGGAATCTGGAAATGCTACATTTTACAAGCTAAACTTCAAAATGAGCAGTTATACAGTATATAACCAAAGGTTGTTTGACAGCAGGGTGATATTTTGGCTGTGGCATTCCCATCCACGCGCTGCTGACGGCTTTGGAAAATGCTAATCAAATATTTGTGTATGTAAAACACTTTTCATCATAGTCAAATGTTTTTCATCTGGTTGGATAAGGAGAACATCAGTAGGTGCCTAAATTAGAAGGGTTATGTGAGAGCTATAAAGCAGTCCTATTAATTTACACAGAAAACCACACAAACCTAGATTATAAATTCCACAAGCAAGCAGAAAGTATTGTGCAGCAGCAGAACTACAAAAAAAGGATTTTTCTAGGAACAGGAGAATTTGCAACAACCTGGCACATGTCTCTGATTATTATTTCCATCATAAAGCACATGCAGTGTACCATTTGGTAAAATTCAAGTATTTAGTGGTACTTTGCTGTAAAGCAAACACTTTGTTTCTTTATATCCTGAATTGGAACTAGAGGGTATATACCCGATCCGAGCTCAACGGGACCCGTTGCTACCTGAAGGTTCAATTTAGAAATTAAGGTCCAGATCAGGTTCAAACACACAAGTCGAACTTTAGGCTATATGGCTGGACTGCTCAAATGTCTGCTTCATTTAATGATAAGGGGAAAAACAAATTCAACTGTGTCGGGCTTGAGTTTGGATCGGACACCCCACTCTCGGACACAAAAGCACTTAATGCACTCTCTTTGGTTTGGTCAATGGATCTCAATTCTAATTCAAGCTAATTTTCTACTTCAGCCTGTTTCCTCCATGAGTGGCCTGTTTAAGACATGAAAGAGGTTTCTCCATCTCCTCATAGCACTCTATCCACTCACCTGACCTGCCGCTCTGGTTGTCTCTCTGTCTTCTTTAACTGTTGTTTGCTCCTCTCCTTGTCTCCCTCAGTATTTCTATCTCCAGATCTTTTTCAGTGCACCAGTTTTCTCAGAGTTAGTTTCCCTTGCACCTTACATAATGGGGGAAATTCCTTTAAACTTATGTTCATGATTATACCACATTATAGAGAGACTACACTGATGTCAGAGAATATTTTTCTTCCATAAACATAGCCTCAGCCCATCTTTACATCATAGCCACATAGTTCTCATTAATTGCACCAGTACAGCTAATCACATTATTTTCTTTTATCCTATTTAGGAATGTGCTCAATTGACATTCATAACACTCAAACCTCTGTCACTCCCCTCAAATTAGTTCATTTCTGTTGCTCTAATAATCTTGGTATAAACCTACACAAATTATCTTTAAGATCCACGTAAAGCCTACATTAAGTCCACGAACTGCAGTCTCTCAATGCTGATGGACCTCAGTGGCTGGTCCAAGTGGATCTTATTAAAATGAAAACAAGCAAAATT